TTTCTTGAGTCAAGTTTTAACTAAATCACACGATACGTGATCAAGTTTTCTATTTGTGGATGTCGGTAGACTAAAATGTATACCGAGTAAATAACACGCAGGAACAACATTATGAGAAATACAAATTCTTGAAAATATAATTCTATTAATTTTCTGGGATATAGTTTTTATACAAAATGAAAGTCATCCTAACAATATTAAAATTTTGCCTTTAAACATGCTTAAATTGGCTCTCTACCAGAAAGAAATTAATGAGGAGCGTTATAGAAACTACTAACGAAAATGCTTACCAAAAATTAATTCTGGGAAACGGTTCAGCATAGATTCCAGTGTTTAGTTATTGCTAATAAATTTTAAAGAGCCGCTAATTCGAAATAAATTTGTTCTACTCGTTTGACTTTTTGTAGATGAGTGAGATTTTCTAACGAGACGACAATGCATAAAATCATAATTTAAGCAAGTCTTAGTGCTAAGTCAATGGGAGTTATTTTTAGCTCAGATCAATTCTATTCAGCTAACGGAGACTGCTAATAAAACAGAGGCCACAGCATATTGCTATTCATATCTAAAGATTAGCTAATGTTTTCCGGAATCGAGGAAGATTGTATCAGAAATATTCAACAAGAATATTACTGCATAGCCAGATGATAGTTTATCTGATAATATATTCTTTGATATCCTATTTGTCTCCCCATACACTCATATATATAAGCAAGTTGTTCACTGATGAACTATCAAATTATCTCGTTTTAATTATTCTATAGTTATATATTGTTGTTCCTTTCACTCATTCTTAAATACAACCTTCCTATCTTTTAATATTTTTGAATTTTTTTAATTATATATTTTTGCTTGTTTTGTTTTTTTACCTATCTGCCGCACGTTTCTACACGTCTTGCTCCATCTGATGAGCATTCTTGCTGATGTCATTCATTGAACCAAGCGAAGACACTGAAAAGTCCACATTCCCTCTTGATGTTGTATCAGCAGAGCCATTGGCTGAGCTTTCAGATGGTTGCAGAAAACCTATTATTCAGTAAGACGGTAATGATTTTTCCCAAATATTCCGTCTCGCTATTAGTCCTCTCCCAGCAAGGCCTTTAAATATGTTTAGTCATAAACTATACTTTTCTTTCTCTTCGTTAGCTACCTGAATTTGTTTTTTATCACAATTTTATATATGCATGTTATATCTACCAGCGAATTGAAAGATCGTATATCAGTAGCCACTGTTATTAGGCTTAAAGTGCACTCGAGTTTTTGCTTCCACTTTTAGATAATCATTTTCACCCTAAGTTTTATCACATAAATCTATATTTTATCCTAATTAGCCTATCTATATGACTTAAAATGATTGACTTACATTTCGAATATTTTTTCTTATCATTTGATGCTCCATTTAAAAAGCCCTTCACTTTTGACAACAATTATCAGACACTTAATGGTATTATAAGGCATAATTCGATTGATTCAAATTATTGAATAAATACAATAATGAGTTATAGATGAACCCATATAGATGTTGACATGTCACATAACAGTAACCACTTTTATTGGGCTTAAAATGCACTCTAGTTCTTGCTTCCGCTTTAGAGAATCATTTTGACTCTAAATTTTATCACATAAATCTTCTCTATTTTGTCTTAATTAGTCCATCTATATGAATACAGAGGATCATAATAATTATTTATGACCAATCGCCCATGTACAATTTAAATATAAGCCCATAAGCTCGATCCAGATTGAAATATTTGTTTATTTTTTCAGGAATATTGTTTCTTCGGTAGATCTCGGGTGTCGAATAGAACTCCGCCGTCTTGTTCTTCATGTTCGAAGTGCGGAATATAATCCAAAGAGGTTCCCTGGTGTCGTTATCCGTCTGCGAGATCCAAGATGTGCTTGCCTCGTTTTTTCTACCGGAAAATTAGTTTGCATGGGTGCACGATCCGAGAGTGATTCAAACTTAGGCGCTCGAAAATGTGCGCGCATTGTCCAGAAGCTCGGCTTTGATGTAATTGCTGCTAATTAATTGTTTTCCTGCTCTTATAAGTTTCACTACTATCTTTTTAATAAATTATTTTTCGGATCGCCCAAATTACGACTAATTTATTGCTTCTAATTAATCTTGCTTGTGGTTTCCTAATGAACTCAAAGTACTTACTCTCTCATGATATTAATGTCCGGTTCCTACTTGTTTAAATAGACAGATATGGACATGGACTTTTTTTATTTAGTGTCTATTACCTACTTAATCATAGATAGGTTGCTTGGATATATCGGAACTAAAGTCCAAGTTTTTCATAATGCGGCTCTTACATCTGTCCGTGTTATCATCTTGTCACTACTTTTTATTTTATAGGTTCACTTCATTAACTTTAAAATTCAAAACATCGTCGCATTGGTTGATTTCCGTTTTCCGATCCGATTAGAAGGTTTGCTCTTGGCTAACGAACAAATGACACAGTACGTTTCACATATTCTTTAGCTTTTCCTAAATATCTCGTTTGTTCTTCATATTGCTGGACACTTCGCATCACTCGAACGATTATCTTAATGTGATTGACTAACATTTCGAATA